ATTCAATTTTAATAACATAAACCACTTATTTTTAAATCACATTGTCGAGCTTTTTTCTTCTTCTTCTTCTTCTTCTTCTTCTTCTTCTTCTTTCCTCTTCTTTTTCTTTTTCTTCTTTCTTCTTTCCTTTCTCTGTGTGTCGTGCGTGTATGAAATGGATTAGTATACAAATCCTAATATATATCTAGTCCACCACCTGCCACTTTTGTTGCGTTTAGTTTTTTTCTTTTTCTTTTTTTCTAGCATGACATATTTGACTAGAAGTTGTAGGTTTGACTTGGTTTTAATTTACTTTACACTATGGCCCGTTTGGGCGCAATTTTAAAAATTAATTTTTTTGATTGTTAGGAGAAAAGTGGAGGTCACTTGTGAAAGAAGAAGTCAAATTTTACAATTAAAATAGTGAAACAACAGTCAAAAAATCAATTTTTTTTTTAATGAAAAATCACTCTCAAACAACCCTTATATAACAAGATCAAACTCCACACTTAAAAACACCCTTTTTAGATCGCTCTTATGTGAGAATGAAATAGGTAAATATTGCCTAATGTACTTTAACTTTTCGTCTCAATCCCCCATGGAAAACCTACTGTCTAGACATCCAATTTGTGATCAAATTAGGATTTCTTACCCAAATTACCATTCATCATATCAACTAAATTATATTTTTTGAGGCACTTTTACTTAGCATTTCTTAGAAAAATGCTTCTCATCCAGACCAAAAAACAGGCTAAAAAAGGGGGATGAGTGGCACCCACCTCAGCCCTTGATTTCAATTGAAAACAACCCCCTGTTTTTTGGTCAGTCCCCAGGCCTAGATGAGGAGCTTAACTCTATTTCTTCGGCTTTGCTAATGTCACCTAACATGATGCAGATAAACCAAACATTCAGTACCTCTTGTGCAAGATCATACTATTAGGTTATTTTACGTCTTGTTGGCAGTCGTAGTGTGGGGGTTCGATTCCTGAGATATGAAATTGGACTCTTTGTAGGCGCAGTGTACAAGTAGCTCTTGTTTCCTGGCCTGTTGGGACACATTTCGTGATTTACCTCCCTCACAAAACTCTAGGGGCAGGACGGTGAGGGTCCTCAAAGTTGGGGTTCAATTTGTTTTTTTTACTATTCACTAAGATATATTGATTGGTGATGTGATGTGAAACGAACATCCGAAAAAAGACTTCTACATGTTTGTTAAGCAGTATTTACAACACTATAGAATAACTCCTTTTCTTTTATAATCATTTCAATATTATTGTTTGAGACATGCATATCAAACTAAACTTTTATTAACTGAAATTCCACAAAAAGCAAAAGATATTCCTTGGAATCAAAAAAATTCTTCATTGAAGCTTCAAAATGCTCCTAGTAGTATAGTGATTGAAGCAAACTCAAAATCACACCCACGAGTTATTCATTTTTATTCTCCACTATAAGATTCAGCCAAAAAAAAAAAAAAAGGGGAGAGAGCAAAATTTATGTAGTCTTTTCAGTATGCATCGTTTAAAGTATGCTAAAACTATCCGTTTGTATATTTATAGTTCAACTGCTGGCCAGTTATGCAGGAGCAAAAATGCAGTTTTCCAGAGCGGAAGGCACGAACACCTTATATAAAGGAAACCATTTTGGCAAGCAGTTTTGAGCTATTTGTTTGACAGCTTGACAGCACGAATTGTCAAGGGGAACTCCAAACACTGTTTTAAAAATCTCTGCTTTGCAACCTTCAACATATATTAGAGTTGCCAAGCACGGCCGTTCCCCGGTCAGCATTGCGTCTGGTCCCGGCCCAACAGGAGACAATTGCGGCTGTGGCGCAGCGCCGAAATGCGAGAATTTTTGCTTTGCAGCCATAACTGCTATTGTCTCTATGGATACAAGCATTAGTAATAATGACAAAGCTCCCATAGCAGGTGATGACTTAGATGCCATAATTTTTGTAATATAACTTGGAATTTTCTGTTTTTTTCTAAAGGAAGAGTATAAAATGGATTTGTTGCGAGATGCTTCTAAGAATGGGCTATTTATATGTCAAATTACATTAATTAAATGTATTAGTTTTTAATTCAAGTGTGTTTCGGTTTCACCTAATTTGCTACAGTTTTTTTGGAGTATTCATTAGTTGTTCTTGATTTTTATTTCAGAACATTTTAATGCTATTGTAACTCATGAGTTATATTTTGAGTCATATTAATTCTCCCACAAAACGGATACCATTTTTTAAATTGATGAGTTAGTTGATGCAATTTAGTTAATTCAAAACAAATAGTGCTAAGAGTTATATTGATTCTCCTCAATAAAACATTTGCCAAATTTTGTGTTCTATTTGGTGATGAATAGTCTCCCAAGTAAAGAATATGAGTGGAAAATAATACTTAGAAGCAAGTATGAAAAAATTCCCTTCATACATTTTCCAAAGCAAACATGTTTTATAAATGTCACACTGACTTGATTTTTATAGTGGAAACAACCGCCACCACCTTCATTCACCATTTCGTTTCTATGTTGCAGAATGTAAGATTTCAAAAGAAATAAGAAAGAGAAGAAGAATGAGAATCAGGGCATAGAGAGGAGAAACCTTTTCTTTATTGAATTGAAAGACCACAAGTCTTTTTTGATTACAGAAAAAAAAATGATGATTAAAAAAAAAATTCACTGGAATCTTCTCTAGCCACTATCTCAAAATAACAAATACAATTTACACCTCGGCACAAAAATAACATAATAAAAAAAAAAACACTCTAAAAAATTGGTGCTTTCTAGAACCTTCCTGCTTCAGCAACTTGTATGAGTAATAGCATCAACAGATTCTAATACCCCCAGCAAGATGGAGAATATAGGTTTACTATTCCCATCTTGGACAAGTGGGAATGAAGGACGTAAGAGGGTAAAGCCTTGGTAAGGAGGTTTGCCAATTGTGAATGAGTGGAGACATAAGAGGTCTGAACACTGCCTTCCAAGATCTTATCATGAATTAAGTGGCAATCAATCTCTATATGCTTAGTTCTTTCGTGAAAGGCAGGATTTGCAGCTATGTCGAGAGCTGCTTGGTTATCACAGAAGAGCAAGGCAGGTTTAGGCCTTAGGGTGTGATATTTGTAGTTCATGAAGTCAGTAGCGAAGCCACATGAGTTCAGAGCAAGTGGTAGCCATAGCTTGGTATTCAGATTCGGCTGAAGATCGAGAAACAATGATCCGCTTCTTGGATTTCCAAGAAATTAAGGAATGTCCTATGAAGATACAATACCTCATGATAGATCTTCTAGAATCCGGGCAAAAAGCCCAGTCGGAATCACAATAGGCTTGAAGTTGTAAAGGAGCAGAAGCAGATACGAAAATGCCTTGACCCAAAGCTGAGTTTAATGTGCCATAGAACCTTGTATGCTGCTACCAAATGAGCTGTTGTGGGACAAGTC